AACATTATCATCACCAACAGAAAGGGTTAGTTTACCATTTTTGACATCAATAATGGCTCCTGCAGTATGGAGAAAAGGCCTACCTAATATAATGAGGATTTATGTATCCTCAGCCATGTCTAAAACAACAAAATCAACAGGGATAAAAAATTTACTAACTCTGACAAGGACATCCTCTAAAATACCTAAAGGGTACTTAACGAAACGATCTGCCATTTGCAAAGTTATATTAGTAACTTTTAAATCACCCATATTAAGCTTAGCACATACAGACAATGGCATAACACTTACACTAGCACCCAAATCACACAAAGCTTTATCAATGAAGACATTACCTAAATGACAAGGGATAGAAAAACTACCAGGATCCTTTAACTTAGGAGGGGATTTATTTTGCAATAAATCACTACATTCCTCTGTAAAAGCTATAGTTTCTACCTCATCAAAGGCCCTTTTCCTAGTCAAAATATCTTTCATAAACTTAGCATATGCAGGAACCTGAGTGATTAAATCAGTGAAAGGAACTGTTACTTGCAGGTTTTTCACAACCTCCAAAAACTTACCGAATTGTTCATCAAACTTACTCTTCAAATGTCTATTGGGGAATGGTAGTTTGATAAATGGGCTCTGCACATCTCCTCCCTTATCCTGAGATTTACCCTGCAAAGAAACACTAGAAGGGTTAGTATCTTTTTGTAGCTAAGCAGGGTTAACAGGATTAGCGTTTTGTATAAAGGAATCAAGATCAGGAACAGGTTCATCTTCCTTTGGCATAGGAGGTCCATCATAATGTGAACCACTCCTTAGAGTGATTGCATTGGCATGATCTGTGGGATGGATTGGTTGCGATGGTAGAGCTCCCTGCTGACGGGTTTGTAAGGTAGAAGAAATCTGCGCAATTTGATTATCCATGATTTTATTCTGAGCTATAATTGAATCAATTTGTGCATCCCTACTCTCCATATGCTTTTCCATGTTTGTAAGCATTGCCCTAATTTCTGTCATAGCAGGGTCAGAAGATGAGGAGGGTTGTGCTTGGTTTTTATAGCCAGAATTAGGATGGTAATATTTCTGCTGTGGTGGAGGTTGTTGTTGTGTTTGTTGTGAAGGTGGAGGGTTTTGTACATTGGTACTCCGGTAACAAAAATATGGATGGTTCCGGAGACTAGGATTATAAGAGTTAGAGTTTAGGTTATTTTTCCGATAGGTTTGAAAGGCATTAACTTACTCCATGGAACTCCTACAATCTTGCTCCCAATGCCCTACAATTCCACAATTTTAACAAAAATTTTCATTGTTAGCAACAGCAGAAACATTAGCTACAGAGTTAGGAGCAACTTTAAGACTATCTAGTTTCTGACAAATAGATGTTAACTGAGCTTGCAAAAAGGATACAGAATCGAAATTAGGCTTTCCTTTGTTAGTAAACCCTCTCGGATTCCCATATTGGGAATTGTGTATTGCCATATCTTCGATAACCTGTCCTGCATCTTCCACATTAAGATTCATGAATCTCCCACTAGCTGCATAATCTAGAACTGATCTAGATGAATTTCCAAGTCCATTGTAAAAGGCTTGGATCAATTTCCATTGTGCCAGATTATGGTAGGGGCATTCTCTCTGTAGATCCTTGAACCTCTCCCAAGCCTCATATAGAGTTTCATCGGCCTCTTGGGCAAAGTTCTGAATAACACTCCTTTGTACAACTGTTCTCTCTGCAAGGTAATATTTATTATAAAAATTTAAGGCAAGAGTTTCCCAGTCAGTAATACCAAGTGCAGTTCTATGCAAACCATTAAACCATAATTTAGCTTTTCCACATCATGAAAAGGGAAAAAAAAATCTCCCTGATTTGGTCCTGCATGACCCCAGCTTATCTAATGGTGTTGCAATACTGGTAGAAATCTGCAATGTGAAGATTAGGATCTTCGCCCTTACCCCACTGAATTGGTTCCTCTCTATCATTGTGATAAATTGATTTCAAATTGCACACCATCAAGGGCCGGAGTGGGAGTAAGGTGTGGAAAATATGTGAGCTTTGTCTGCGAGTAATCACTGAGCTTCTTAGGTACCGCCATCTCTGATTCTGGATCTCAAGGAATTTCTAAGTCACTGGAATCAGTTAGAGAGTCTCTTCAATTATTGTCTTCTTCAGAGCCCGCCAGGATTTGTCTATAGAGATTGTTTTGTCTATGGAACGAGCGCTCAATCTCAGGATCGAATGGAATGTAACCTGACATGGAACACCTGGGCATAAACAAAGAACTAAAAGACAAATATGAGAATTGCCTCAAAGACCTGATGTTCTCTGAGACAAGAGAGGATAATCTAAACTACAAAAATAATCAGAAAATAAAAATAAAACCGTTTCCCTGGCAACGGCGCCAAAATTTGACAGGCTCAAGTCGTAATCACCTAATCAAAAATAATACCTAAATCCACTAACTATGTAGATAGGGAAGAAGGGTCGAACCACAGGGAAACGAGTTAATTTATTCCTAATTAATCAAAATAATCTAAATTATCAAGTAACCAAATTGTTACTGTAAAAGGGAACTAAACTACTAAGAGTAAAAGTGAGAAGGAATAAAAGTAGGAAGGAATTCAATGAAATAAAAGCCTAGGGCATAGGTTCACCAATAAACAATATTCTAGGGTAAAACATAACAATCAATCGTCAATGCATCAATTAATCAGATCATAAAGGGCTTTCGCTACGTATTACAATCACATAGTTAATTTACCGGTATTAAATCCCATCTCTCGAATCTTGACTTAACCATTTATAAATTAGTCCGCCTATTGAAACTAAGCTTAAACATCAATTCTCATCTCTCGAATCTCGAATCAATATTACATAACTCATACAATTAAACTAGGCCTAATCTAATTGCATAGCATCAAATCAATCAATAGGAAATTAATCAAGCATTGACAATCAACAATCATAAATTACCCCTTCATATTATTTATTGGATCCCCATAAACCCTGGAAATAAAACTACTCACACATAATTTAATCTAAACTAAATAAAGCAATTAAACAAGTCATAAGAGAATAAAGGAATAATATTGCTAAAATTAATAGAGAATAATCGTTACCAAAATCAATGGAACTACAAAGTTGAGTCAAGAACAAGAGTAAAAGTTGAGAGAAATCTAGAGAGAGAAATAATCTAAGTAGAGAGAGAAAGTCTAAGAAAAGAGGTAAAACAAAAAACAAGTACTAAATCTTACTTAAACAAACTCTAAAACATTCCTAATTAGAAACTAAGAATTTGGCAGATCAGGTGCTCCTGAAACACGCGCCCGATCGAGCGAAGGGCCGCCCGATCGGGCCCGCCTTTTTCTTTGCACCCTCTTCTAAACAGTCGCGCCCGATCGAGCTAATGCTCACCTGATCGGGCGCGCCTTGCTAGCAGCAGCTTGTTGCGCGCCCGCCCGATCGAGCCTTGGCTTGCCCGATCAAGCCCGATTCCACCTCGAGGCTTGGACTTCGATTGGGCTTTAAATCTTCGGCCCAATCCGGATTTCCTCTTCGGGTCTTGAATATTTGGTCCAAATGCCCCGGTATCACATATACTGATCCCTTAATTACCGTCTTGATGACTTTAACCGGCCTTGGGCTTCAAAAACAGTCGTGCTCCTCTAATGTCCGTAGTTGCTCCACGAAAACCTAGGAAAATGCTCTAAAAGTTCAATTTCCTACAAAACTCAAGAAAAACTAAAAAAACACTAGAAAACACCAATTAGTAATAAAAGTGGCTCTAAAGAGCCAAAAACACTACTAATTATGACCTCAGGACGATGGTAAAATACTATATAAATTATACACATCATTACTCTGCCGACAATTTGTTATCATGTGTTCTATCTTGTATGATTTGACTGGAATTAACTATCTTTAGGAAAGCATGTGATGTATAATGAATATTATAATTTTCAAAAGAGCTTAAATTGTTCTGCAATATCTCAAAAGACAAATCAAATGAGGATGATCGCGGATAGATAGGTCGTTAAGCTACCACCCTAACCAAATTAATCATTTATAATACCTAAACTTACACTAAACTAGTTAGTGGCAAGTAAAGGGTCAAACCCAAAAGGACTAAGTGTATTAATTTGTGCCAACTAGACTACTAGGAAAGGTCGTGAGATAGAGAGAGGTTAAACTAAACACGACTAAGAACAAACAACTAAAACTAGGGAAAGTGGAATCCAATCACATCAATGTATTAAACATCATACAAATAGATGAAAATAATGACCTCAATTAAGAACATCAACACATTTAACTCACTCTCGCACAATTAAGCATGTTAATTATCCTACTAAACTAATTCACTCTCATGCAACTAGCCTATCAAAGGTATGGAAGAATTTAGGGCTCTCAAACAACTCACTCTCGCACAATTGATTGAAAGCACAATTAAGAGCATAGAATCGATTAGCTAGAAAGATTCTAATCCATAAAAGCATCGCCCATACACAATAATCAAGAAACAATTTCATACTAATCACAATCAATCATTTAATTCATTAATATAACCTTCATCCAATTCCCTAGAACAAGACCTAAGCTAACATAATGAAGAAAGACATGGAAAACAAGGTAAAATAAGAATAAAAACAAGATTAAACAAATAAACTAATTAATCTACTCAAATCAACAAACAAAAAGCAAAAAAACTAAGAATTAAGCAAAGAAATAAAGATGAGAGAAAGTTAGAAAATGCTCATTGGATAGATGAGAAGAAGTTCCACAAAGTTGCTTCTTCAACCTCTCAAAAACTCCATGGAAATCCAAGCTTTCTCTCTCTACACTACTCCTAAACTAGAGAGAGAAAATCCTAATCTAACCCTAAGAGAGAGAAAATATATGCTAAACTAATCTAATCTATCTAAAATAAAATGTTGATTGAAAGTTGTGAGAAAAATAACCCCAAAGGGGTATTTATAATACAAGTTAAATAAAAATAAATAAAAATAAATAAAATAATTAAAAACTAAATTCAAAAACTAAACTAAAATAAAATAAAATGAAAAGGAAAAATAAACCCCCAAAATTTCCACCCAAAACCGTCAGACCAAATTCTCTTTCCCACCTTCTTCTTCCCTTTTGAATTTGGCTGCTTTCACTCCACCATCAACCATCATCCAAACAACATCACCATCGTTCATCAACATTATCATCATCTAGCATCACCAAATTCTCGGCCTTTGGATTAATCGAAGGAATCGTGGCCGTCCAATTTTCATTAAAATCACGTGAAAAGCTCGTGATTGACCCACATTTGCGCGCCCACACAGAAGTCGCGCACAGGTCGCGCAAAGCTACTGCCTCAACTCTGATTTTGGACTCCAATTTGTGCGCTTTCTGACAGGGATGCGCGGCCGCAAATTGGTTGCTCTGTGAGTTTGGATTGCTGTGAGTTGCGTGGCTTAATTGATGAGTGGTTTGGTGGTGATTTGGGTGGTTGTTGTTGTTGCGTGAAGTGAGGGAGCAGGGGAATTGGTTGTTGCGGTGGTGTTGGTGGTTCAGGTGGTTTGGGTGGCTGAGATTGGAGGCGAAATGGGAGGCGCAGCAAGTGGTTTTTAGGAGGTTGAAGATGGTAGGTGACGGCTGGTTGTTGTTGCGTGAAGGTTGCGTGAGGTAGCAGGGGATTTTGGTGGTGATTGCTGGCAGTTTTGCGTGGCTGATTGGAGGTGGTGCGAGTAGGGTAAGGTGGCTGGTGGAGTCGGATTGATGGTGGTTTGCTGTGGCTGGTTGTTGGTGGTGGTTCAGGGCGGTGTGGCTGGGTATAGGTGGTGCTGGTTTGGTTGTGATTTTGGTGGCTTGTGAGAGTGGTAAAGGTGGCTGAAATTGAGTGGCTGATGGTGATGTGCGTGGTTGTTGTGAGGGTGAGTGAGCAGGGGAAAGGTGGTTGTTGAGGCTGTGCGTGAAGGGTGGACGGAGGAGGTGTGAGTTGGTGGTTGTTACGGCTGCTGTGGTTGATATTGGTGGCAATTGAAAAGCCTTGACTTGGACCTTGAACTCGAACCTACACACAAACAAACCCGAGGATAAAAGTGTGAAACCGAGACAAATAAAATAAAATAAATAAAAAGGAGATAAATAAAATAAAATAGAAAAAGAGAAGTAACACTTAATAAAAAATAAATAAAAGTAAAATAGAAATAAAAGAAATAAAACTAAAACTAATAAAGACATAAAACTATACAAGTAACAAAGGAAAGGAACGAAATAAAATAAATCAAAGCAAATAAAATATGAAAATAAACTAGAAACTAATTAATAAAGAAATTAAATTAAAACATACTAAAACTAAGAAATAAACTAGAAACTTTATTAAAAAGAAAATAAGTGAATAAAAGGGAAAATAAGGGAAAATAAACACGAAAATGACACTAAAACTACTCCCTAAGAGTGACATAAATGTCACTCATCAAATTAAAATAAAATAGAACTAAGTAACCCGAACACACCTACAACCAAAAACCGACACGAGGATAGAACAAAATATAATAAAATAAAACGAAGTAAAAATAAAATAAAATTAGTAAAACAAGATAAATGACTAAATTAAAACAAATAAGAAAATGTGAGAAACTAGGAACTTATTATAAAACAAGAACTAAAAACTTAAAATACAAACATTGAAAATAAGAGAAATTAAATAAATTAAGAAAATAAGATAAAAACTATTAAAAACTACTTAAATACATAAAAGATGAGAATAAGCAAATAATAGAAATAAAGAACAGGATGAGCTAAAATATTGGAAAATAGGCCGGAAAATGACTCAATAAACACCGTAGAAGTGACATAAAAGTCACTTATCAGAGGAAATCTCCCCAAAAATATTCATATCATCATATGAGATAAGATTATGAAAAAGCTTGAAGCTCACTGACCTACAGCTGTTTGACGTGATGCACTTGCTTACTTCCTTCAATCCATTCCATCAAGCCCCCATACCCATATCCTCTCCTCTGGGACGACAAAAATCAGATGAAAACCTCTCATCAAGAGTGACTATGCTAAACCAGATTAAAATAGAGCTCAACCTTCCCAGTTGTGGTAAAGAAACAATGCTTCAAAGAGGTAACATTTGGATGACCCAAAAGGCACATCGTTTGCAGCTTGCTATATCTCGTCCTGAAGGACTTTCTTTATAGCCACAATTTAACCCGATTCCAAGCACCTTGCCTAGACATCCCATCATTAGTAAATTAGTAATGTTATACAGGGTGGCTTCAAGTCTAAAATAATGTTGCTTATTTGCTTTTGCAAACAAAAGATGAAAGCTTTTAATCAGTTATTGCCAAGTTTACCTGAGACACAACCCCAAAGTATCCTTGTCCGACAATACGTTCAGCCATGTAACTCACTGTCTGAAAACACAAGGGCATAATTTAAATAAGAGCACATATTTTACAACTGAATTACTACAATGTATAGAAGGCAATCCCAATAAATCTTTAAACAAAAGGTACCATTTTTGAGCAAGCCATACAACATTTTTCAAAAGAGCACCTCAAAATATGCGCATTTAAGTTTATTGAAAGTGCGTTAATTAAGAGGGGGATATTTTATACAGAGTAATACAGGAAGTAATAAAAACCAAAACTTTAGTGCATGTATGCAATGGGTGTTTGTTGCAATTTGACAAAGAATGATTAAACTATCCTAGATCACAAAAACTAAACGAATCACTAAGGGCATGTTCTCATTGATTGAACTCAGCTGAACTGAGTTGAGCTAAGCTGAACTGAAATGAAATGAATATTTTATAAGAGAAGGAAATTAGGAGCTGAACTGAACTATGAGCTGAGCTGAACTGAATTGAATTTCAACGTATAAGAACAAGCCCTAATTTTAACATCAAGAAGAGATACAAACTTGAAACTTTGTATTTATTTTATTATTTTCTTCAGCTCTTCTGTAAGAATAAATAGAGATTTGCGCAAAATTATGTTAGGAAATGGCAGAAATAAAGAAAAAGGATGGATTTACAAATTGCTATTCACAAAACGGACGGCAAACAGAAAGTCACCCAAATTGAGTAGGGTAACCCTGATTGCAAAACAATAATTCATGTAAAATTCAATAGGGTAACCCTAATTGCAAAGCAATCATATGTTTAATTCAGTAGCCACCCAGAAGTCTAAATCTTAGCAATATATAATTAATCAAAACATAATCATACAGTAAAGTAGTAAACTGAGCTTATCATCAAAAGTTTGTCAAAATTACCAACTTATACTCGAGCCATAATCAATTTAATTTAAAAAACAATTAAAAAAATCCTAGAAGATAGTTTTTCAAAAATCAGAACCTACCAAGGACACCATAAACTCAAGCTTGCGTCCAATGACTTGAAGATCCAGATTACCGACTTATACTTGAGCCATAATTCCAAAAACTTGATACCTAAAAAAAAATCGACAAGAAATTAGGGGTTGACCCTATAAACGCCCAAAATTAATCCAAAATAAAACCTAGAAATTCCTTTTAAAACCCTAGATTAAGAGAACTTCACTAACCAATTTAATTTGCACATTAAGTACCTAATAGGCTAACAACTTCACTAACCAATTTAAGAGAAGTTACCCATTGTAATCATCGTCCACCATTGAAGATTGTTGAAGCTTGCCTGAAACAAATTGGTTCTTGGTCGGAAGAAAGAGAAAGAGAAAAGGAAGAAATCCCATATTACCTGCTTATCTTGTCCATTTTTACCACCAATGGTGGTGACAATTACCCACACACCTAAAGAATGAGATATAACAATATTCTTAATGATCACAAACCAAAAAATTGATCAAATCCAGTAAGAAAGCCAAAGCATTGCCTTTACCTCAGATTTATGTCCAACAAGCTTGCTAACATAGTCATTCGAGACCCGAAGATCGTGTTGAAGTATGTTCCTGTCTCTTCTTTCGGAGGCAAGTATACGGGAACTCCATGCCAAAACACCAACTCTTGTTTGATGACCACTCAAAGTTCTTACCTTTTTGCATTCAGCTCCATCCCATACCTAAATCAAATCAACCATTGTTACATGTCTACATTAACACTTTCATGAAATGAATAAAGAACAATTCTAGCACACACTGCAGCTTCACAAACTGCTACCACTGATCTGAACCAGGTTGGGGAGACAGAGAGCAAATGAACAAATTAAAATCCCAAAAATTATTATTAATAAAACTAAGAAAATATAATTCAAACTAAAAAGCGAGCACTATTCACAATAATAATAAGTACTTTTGTTAGCTCATAATAAACACAAAAACCTCAATAGCTTAAAGACTGAGACCCCGACTTCATCATCGCTGCTTTGTTGGTTTGGTCACCAAAATTTTAATTAAATGTCAAACCCACAAATCATCAACTTAGATAAATGTAAACAGTAAAACCCACAATAATTCTCCCAACAATTCATGAAATTAATCTCTTATAAATTGTTGAAATAAGCCAGCTTTCCCGAATTGACTAACTAAAATTTGCTCAATTAATACAATAATTAAGCAATAAAAATTGTTCCTTAAAAAGAAAAACACCAGCTTACCTCAAAACAACCATATGTAGAGAGAGAAAACGAGGTGAGAGAAATGATTAGCTAAATTAGCCCATACATTTTTCTAATCAATTTAAGCAAAACAAAACTACTAACATTCAAATTAAAAAGAACTAGTAGATCAGAAAATACCTCTTTCTCGATGAGGTTACTAAAGAATTTCTCTACTTGAAGAACTCGTTCTAGAATATTCAATATCGTGCTCATGCCATGGCAATTTAGAATCTTCAAAGTCTAGTTTTAATCAGTGTTCAGTGTGCAGAGGAAGGAGAAAGAGCTTAATCAGTGAAAAATACAATAATTCGCGAAAAAAACATGAATTAATTAGAAGAGAAGTTACCCCATATCCATGTCATTGTAATCATCGTCCGCCATTGAAGATTGTTGAAGCTTGCCTGAAACAAACGCAAAAACCCTAAATTGTTTTGGGAACCAGAAACCCTCAAAAATAAAACAAAAATCCTAAAATTTCCATGTACCAGAGACCCTAAAAAAACAAAACAAAAATCCCAAAATTAACAAATAGATGAAAACAAAACAAATGGATCTAGCACATTCTAATTGAAGAAAGAGAAAGAATGAAACCTTTTCTTCGGAAAGAGGCTTGTACTATATAAGCTGACCAATCTGCTCATCAAGTTTTTGAATAATCCACCAATGTAGAACCCTTAATTTACTATGCTAACATCAATTAAACAACAATGTGAAATTAAACTCTCAAATGTTTTTTATTTTATTTTATTTTTTTTTGGTAAAGAAGGAAAATCACATGAAACATTCTGCAAAATTTACAAACCTGATTTTAAAAAAAATAAATAAATAAATAAATAAAATTACAAACCCCACAGCCATAATTTGTTAAATCATTCAAGAAACACTGTTCATAAGGGAATCGAAGTGAAAACCAAAGCAAAAATTATGAATTAAAACAAAATCTTAAATTATAAAATGAAATTAAAACTACAAATTACCTGAAATTGCAAGAGGATTGATGAGAAAGAAAATGACAAAGTGTAATCAGTCACCGGTCGAAAGACAGGGAAACCCCAAAAACGATAGCATGGAAACCCTAGGATAGATATTTTATGGATCAAAATCAGAATCAAATAATATATTTCACGTCAAAACTAAAGGAATAAATCTTTTTATTATCAATACAAAATGCAGCTTCACAATTATGACAATTTGTGTATAATTTCCCCACAATACCATCTCTCCTAACTCTAAGCTCATCTCCATAATAAAGATGCTACCTTTAGTGCAGTTCTATAATCCCCAAATATCTACCCCTAAATTTCTCAATTCTGAAATCATCCAAATTCATCTTTACCCCACAACCACCACTCTATTTGTAACTAACACCCACCAATTATATCGGATTTTTATGCTATAATTAGCAAATATTTGGAAAATAAAACAACAGAAAACATTGACAAAAATTAGGAATCAACAAAATTATGAAACTGAAACCACCTAAAAATATGAGTTTGAAGCTCTTGAATAACCCAGAAACAATGCTACTGAAGCTTATACTGTCAATTTTCGAAAACAAACCATTGACGAAGATTGACCATTCAGAAAACATACCATGACTCCAGCTCGAAAGGTCTTTTCAATTGTGTTCCCCATCACTTAATTTCACATTTTAGTCCTCACAAAAGCAACCCCTTTTCTTGGTTTCACATGAAGAAACTCTACAAAATCCATGGGAAAATGTTTTTAGTTTTCAGCCTCCCATGTTAAAGAATTAATAGTTTAACTGCTATGTATGATTCTAGTCACCAAGCAATTGGAACTTTGGAAGAGTCAGCATCAAAAGTGCAAACCAGCTATCAGAAAGACTTAACCAGAAAACATTCACCTTATATTACACACTACATGCCTTCTCAGCTCTCTCACGCACCCCCTGCCCCTCCCCATCCCCAACTAGAAAATAATACCACAAGCTAATGATCATAAATCATCATACAAATTAACAGTGTACTACATTAAATTCACTGTCCCATCTCCCTCATTCTTGAAGGTATGGAGGATAATGTAGGGAGGCAGACAATAATCTAAAATTTCCTAGTCTTTCTGGAGAGATAACAAAACAAACCAAACCCCTTCTTCACCACGCTCCATTTTCAATAGTCTTTTTGGAGAGATAACAAAACAAACCAAACCCCATCTTCACCACGCTCCATTATCAATAATTTTCAATCCCCAAACCAAATATCAATGATGCACTTAATCATTTGGACATTAAAATTGCATTGATGAATGATAACCATTGGGAAGCTATATTAGAAATGAAAATCGAAAGAATGCATGGATTTTACACTAAATTCTGTTTGAAAAGCTACTTCTAGTGGGTTTCAACCGTCAACCCTACTGCACATATGGGGCATAACACCAAAGGCAACAAGCCTAAGTCACACAATTCAAGTTTTGAAAGCTAGAAGAAAAAAGCTTCACCTCCATAGCATCAAAAGGAAAGTAGAAAGCACCAGCAAATACTCCATCTATTTGCTCGCATGCCTATTCCCACTTTCATCACATGAATTAGGCCGAACTGCTCCTGATAAGATACAAACCAAAAGAAAAATTCATCAGAACCCCTAAATTAATAAAATTTGAGAAACTAAAAACAAAATTAAACTAATCAATTAGGTAATCTATAAAAATCATTAGAAATCCTAAATCAAACTGAAAATAAAACACCCAAATCCTAACTATTTTATAAAACAAAAATGAAATACTGGAAAAACCAAATACCAAAAAAAATAAAAAATTACAAATCATAGAAAAGAGAGGAGAATTAAAACCCTCTTGCTTCCATTAAAGAAGTCTCGTCATCTTGCTGCAACCCAAAAAAAAATCAACAAAATCATAAACATAAAAAAAAAATAAAAAAAAAAACCCCTAAATTTCGCACAATATCCAAATCATGTTCAATCAAAACTACTATAATCAACCAAATTCATAAATTAATGTTAAATGAGAGATAAATGAGCTACGAGACAACAAACCAGAAGGGAGAAACAGAGGTAAGCTCCATTTTTAAGATGTAAGAATTCGCTGGAAAACTACCATCAACAGCGGAAGAACCGAGGTCATGAGCCGCTTCCATTAGAGAATTCTAGCAGCAAAAGAGGTAAGCTCCATTTTTTAGATGTGAGCTTTGCACAGAGAAATGTTAAAAGTAGAAAGAAGAGAGAAAATGGAGGTATGAGAGAGGAAAGATGAATGGAGAGGAGGTGACTACAGAAGAAAAGGCACCGACTAAAGGGTAAAAGGCAGTAAAAAAAAGGAAAAACAAAACCAAAAATTAAAATAAAACAGAAACAAAAAAGAAAAGGCAAGGGGTAAAAACGCGAATTTACTGTTCATAAGGATTTTGAGCAAAAAAAATAGGCATGAATTAAGGGCATAACCGGTATTTTACTGTTCATAAGCAAAAGTAAAAAAAAATGCAACCTCAACCCTGGAATTTGGCTTTTAAAGGTTATGGATTATTGTTATTGCTTGATCACGTCCTCTCTTCCAGGTTTAAAGGGAATTTGTACTTGAAATCATGCTTAATAAGATAATTGATAATTTTATATAGGCTAATGTGATTTTAATTCAAGTGATCGCCAATAATAGATTTATTTGTGCATTGATATTCAACCAACATAGATTAAACAAGATTAGGATTAATATATTGATTGTATGTTTGTCAGAAAGCGCACATGAATATTAGAAGAATAAAGTAGAGGCCTATTTTCAAGGCAGGTTCAATCACTTTTAGGTTGGATTTGTACCTTCATCCCATAATATTCAATCATGGTTCAGGACCACTATGGAGTTAGCAATCCCATGTATCGTGAAGGAGTGTAACCTTCACCCTGTGAACGGTTAACAAGTTCCTAAAACTTGTTGGCGAATCTTTTGCTCTATCTTCCTTCCCTTTGGTTGCCACCATGCTAAGTGTATGATCATAGTGGGGCTCAAGTGTGGGATGCTTGAAATATTCCCTACACAACTGAAAGAACCCAACCCTCCCCTTAACCTCAAATAACCCCATCTCCTCAACCACCAGTTTCACCTTAACCAAAAACAGTTCACCTCATACAACAATCCCATCAACTGTAGAACCTACAAATGCCTTTCCTTGAGAAATTCAAAAAAAGGGGTAGATCTAGACCTCCGGGGTTTAGAACAAAAAAGAGTTGTGGCAAAAAGGTTGCTGAGAGAAGTAATGAGAAAAGTGTGAGTGTAAGGAGATCTGGAAGAAACAAAAGGTTATCTTGGGTTGAGACAAGTGAGGATGATAGATCTGATGATGATGATAGTAAGGATTCATATTACATACAATCTGGCAGTGAACAAGATGATGATGATGTTGATCTTGCTGACTTCATAGAGGATGAAGAAGAAGTTTAATTCTTATATGATGACATTTCCTAAAAAGCAATTTGAGGATTACCTTGATGGGAGTTCAGCTATGGACAAGACATACATGAATGGCAGAGTCTGGACTAATCAAGAATTTAGAGCTATGAAACTAGAGCCTTGGTTGATCTTTGCAGACATAAAACCATTCACTGAAGATTTAAGGATTACTTTATATAAGAAGGGTTTGGTGTCTTTGTTAAAATGAGTGACACACATATAGAAAGATGTGCTATAGATTTATGCAACCGGAGAATTCATGCTTCTACCAATAAAGACATTAAAAATGGAGCATACAACTTGTGGCAGTCTTGAGATTAACCCCGTTGTAAGTTTTGATTGGCTCTACAAACATCTCCAATAAGATTTCAAGCCAACCTTGACATTCCAGTTGAGTCTCTAAAAAGAATCTGTATGGAAAAGTACAGGATTCAAGTTAAGAAGAGGTTGCTCTATAAGGTGAAAGCAATTTCCAAGGAGATGATACATGGTGGTTTTGGAGAGGCCTACAGTCTCCTTCAAAGATATGAAAAGATGGTTAAACAAACCAATCCAGGAAGTCATGCTCTAGTGACATGAACACAAGCATCTGCAAATGTCCAACCTAGATTCAAGGCTTTCCTATTTTCTTTTGCTGCACAAATAAGGCTTTTTGGCAGGCTATAGGCCAATCATTGGCATTGATGGGGCCCATCTCAATGGATAATATAAAGGCATATTGTAAACAGTAGTTGGAATTTATGGTAATAATGAGAAATTTGTGATTGCTTATGCCATAGTTAGTACAGAGAGTGCTGATACTTGGGGTTATTTTATGAGGAATTTGAAATGTCTTTTTGATAAGGAGGGATGTAGCAGAGATGATTTGACCTTTATTTCTAATTAACAGGATGAAGGTAACTCAGAAATTACTACAAATGAGTTTAATTTTCTTTTTCTTGCATATTCTAGCTTATACACTTGTCGTATGCATATGCAAGAGGTTGATGCAGCAGTTATGGAAACATTCCCTAGAGCAAGTAGAAGAATATGATGTCAGCACCTGTACAGTAACTTCAAAACATATGGATTTAGTGGAACACAATTTTACAAGATCTTCTGGGTTGCTACTGATGCTTACAATCCATATATCTTCAATAAAGCTATGGGGAATATTCATGCCTACAATCCAAAGGTTGTTGACTACTTGAACAATACCACTGAGGTTTGGTCAAGGTATCAATTTGACACATCACTTTGTGGTGATCATAACACAAAAAATTTTGTTGAATCATTCAACTCCTGCACCAAGCCATACAGAGATCTACCAGTTCCAAAACTTCTTAAAAGTAATAAAATGGTTTATTGTCTGCTAATGCATCAGTTTGACAATGCATTTTCTCTCTTGCTTTACTTCAAATGGTTTCCATTTTTCAGCTATATATAAGGAAATGGTGCGTGAAGAGGATGGCTCCAAGGTTTGATAAAGCAACAGCCCTGGGGATGGGGAACTCACTGAGTATGCAACCAAGATCCTGCAAACAAGATCAGATGAGTCCAGGTTCTCCTATGCAACACCATGTGGTGGTGATGAGTTTGAGATGAGGGATCAACATGTGAACTCTCCTATCAAGCTAGGGGCTAGAACTTGTGGTTGTGGGAAGTGGCAACATTTAGGGATCCTATGCAAGCATGTGCTTAGGGTGATTTACTACCAAAGGCTACAACATGTAGATTTTGTATCACCTTATTTCAAAGAGAGGGCATACAAAAGCACTTATACAGAGCATATGCACTCAATGCCTGACCAAACTCAATGGCCCTCATTCAACCTCCCTAACATACTCCTACCTTCAGTGAAAAGATCTGCATGTAGACTAAAGAAGCAGAGAAAAACAAGGCCAAATGAAGTAAGAAAAAGAAAGAGGCATAGCACAGTTAAGTGTAGCCTATGCAGTGAGTTAGGCCACAACATGTTGACATGTGCAATAAAGAACAAGACTATAGCAGCTGAAGTTAGCACTTCAAAGACAAAGAAGAGAGCAAAGAAAGCTGCTTGAACTCCAAATCCCTTTCCTGTTGAATGCACAGAAAAATTGGAAATATTATCTAGTTTTTTAACATTAATATTCAACTGTGTGTTGTGTTGTTGTGGTTATTTTCTTGGAAATATTCTCTGTAATTTTTTGGGGATGTTATGTGAACAGGAAACCAAATTATTTGGTGAACATGATTGAAACAAGAAGAATTATGCTCAAATGAATGTTCAATTTAACACTTTATTCAAATTCGTTGCAATTACATTATGGTTCACTTCATCATTACAATCACAACTATTACACACATCACTACACCTAATTTCATAATAGAATTGAGAACTTTTTGCTGTTGCTTCACTTTCTTCTTCAATTGCTTCAATTCATCATGCAAATTGCTATGTCCCGGCCCATTCCTATCATAATAGGTTCCCCTACTTTAAACTTCTTCCGGCTTGAGAACTTTGCACCATTTGAAGCTATTTCATGAGTCACACTTGTAATAAAGCCTTTGTGGATTAGATGTTGACTTCGAGCTTCTAATTGCATATTTTCTACCACAAACGCAAAATTTGTTTGGAACTCTTACATACGCATACTCATGTATTGAGGAGGATGTGTTTGATATCAAACTCATGATTATCCAGGTAGAGGGTTGCTATGTGTGTTCTAAGTCTCACATTTATACAAGAAAGTGGATGCAACTGCTAGTTTACCCCAAAAAAATTCAAAAATTTTGAAACAAATTAGTCATTAGTACTCGGTAGTTTAGAGATACACTGTGTAATAATTTACATAAGTAATGGAATTTCATGAAAATTTAAAATTAGTCAGTGGCATTTGGTGAATTAAGAATCCCAATATCAGATAATTAACATCCAGACCTCATTAATGGCATGACATGACATTATACTGTTTGTCAGCGGCATTTTGTGAATTCTAAAAAGTCTGATGGCATTTGGTGAATTTTTTAAGTTCTCAGTGGCCTTTGGTGAAATAGCCTAATTTTATATACAGTGACCTTTATTTCAGTGTTGTCAAATTGATATATTTACATTATTTTTGTATATAGTGACCTATATATAATGTTATCAAAATCTATATAATTACTTTATCCTATGGGTTGTTTACACAATCACGGCGCCGATACCAAACCAAGTAAGATCCCACCATGTCAATGCTTTCTTCATATATAGTTACCAGTTTACACAAGATATTGTTGTTTTTTATATATATAGTGAAGTTTATGTAAATGTAGTCAAATTTGATATACTAAGGCCCTGTTCTTTTGAGCTTCTGGGCAGAGCAGAGCAGGGGTCAGCAAAGCAGAGCAGATTAAATTTTAGCCGAGCATAGCAGAGCAGAGAAGAGCAGAGCAGAGCATATTTCTTTTGAGCAGAGCAGAGCCGAGCCGAGCAGAGCGGATTTCAACATTATTATTAATACTATTATTAATGGTGTTATTATTAATACTATTATTAATTTTACTATTATTAATGTTGTTGTTGTTGTTGTTATTATTATTATTATTATTATCAATGTTGTTGTTGTTGTTGTTATTATTATTATTATTATTATTATTATTATTATAAATAAATGTGTATCATATATAACATATGTTAATAGTAGAAAGATAAAATAGTACAACTTAACATTTTCAAATGACTACAACCGCATATCAAAATAGGAATATAATTATATTAGCGTCTAACATCGTGCATAATTAACCATCCACTTCCATATGATTGGCATTCTCATCATCTTCATTGCTGCTTTGATCTTGGTTGTTATCAACTTCATTGTCTCTTTCCGATCGGTTAGCCCTCCAAATTCAAAGTGATATATCATGTCTCACTATGTCCATACTATCTTTGCGCCATTGTGCATACATAGTTAAATCTGCAACTCCTATATTCGCATCATGTTGAATGATTGGTATGCCAAGCTTATGCATCCGAATAAAATTATGTAGTGTGCATGTGGCAATAATAA